AGGACTGCGGAGGTCACATGGTAGAGGAACATAAAGCAGTGCCTTGCTAAGAGGTTGTCAGTAAAGGGTCAAAGGTCAGAGGTTACCAGCAGCTGCTTTAATCACCACTGTAAAACCAGACAAATTCATTTCACTCAAAAGAACTGTTAGTAACTAAAGTAAAGTAACTAAAGTAACTAAACATCCTTCATCAAGAAGCTTCAGTAACTTTTAAGTGACACTAACTTTAAGTTAGTTACTCACAGCTACCAGTAGTTAGGTATTATACAGTAGCAGAGTAAATAGTCAGAGGTCAGAGGTCACCTGCTGCAGGTACTGGTTGATGGTGATGTGAGCCATGACGTCGTGCTGCTCCAGCAGCCGCTGCAACCTGAAACACACCAATATAAAGACTGTAGATTATACAGATTATATTATATTATCAATATAAAGACTGTAGATTATACAGATTATATTATATTCATCAATATAAAGACTGTAGATTATACAGATTATATTATATTATCAATATAAAGACTGTAGATTATACAGATTATATTATATTATCAATATAAAGACTGTAGATTATACAGATTATATTATATACACCAATATAAAGACTGTAGATTATACAGATTATATTATATACACCAATATAAAGACTGTAGATTATACAGATTATATTATATTACCAATATAAAGACTGTAGATTATACAGATTATATTATATTACCAATATAAAGACTGTAGATTATACAGATTATATTATATTACCAATATAAAGACTGTAGATTATACAGATTATATTATATACACCAATATAAAGACTGTAGATTATACAGATTATATTATATACACCAATATAAAGACTGTAGATTATACAGATTATATTATATTACCAATATAAAGACTGTAGATTATACAGATTATATTATATTACCAATATAAAGACTGTAGATTATACAGATTATATTATATTACACCAATATAAAGACTGTAGATTATACAGATTATATTATATTATCAATATAAAGACTGTAGATTATACAGATTATATTATATTACCAATATAAAGACTGTAGATTATACAGATTATATTATATACACCAATATAAAGACTGTAGATTATACAGATTATATTATATTACCAATATAAAGACTGTAGATTATACAGATTATATTATATTACCAATATAAAGACTGTAGATTATACAGATTATATTATATAAACCAATATAAAGACTGTAGATTATACAGATTATATTATATACACCAATATAAAGACTGTAGATTATACAGATTATATTATATTACCAATATAAAGACTGTAGATTATACAGATTATATTATATTACCAATATAAAGACTGTAGATTATACAGATTATATTATATTACCAATATAAAGACTGTAGATTATACAGATTATATTATATTACCAATATAAAGACTGTAGATTATACAGATTATATTATATACACCAATATAAAGACTGTAGATTATACAGATTATATTATATTACCAATATAAAGACTGTAGATTATACAGATTAAATTATATTACCAATATAAAGACTGTAGATTATACAGATTATATTATATTACCAATATAAAGACTGTAGATTATACAGATTATATTATATTACCAATATAAAGACTGTAGATTATACAGATTATATTATATTACCAATATAAAGACTGTAGATTATACAGATTATATTATATTACCAATATAAAGAATTCTACAGATTATAAATTATATTATCAATATAAAGACTGTAGATTATACAGATTATATTATATTACCAATATAAAGACTGTAGATTATACAGATTATATTATATTACCAATATAAAGACTGTAGATTATACAGATTATATTATATTACCAATATAAAGACTGTAGATTATACAGATTATATTATATTACCAATATAAAGACTGTAGATTATACAGATTATATTATATTACCAATATAAAGACTGTAGATTATACAGATTATATTATATTACCAATATAAAGAGTAGATTATAAGATTATATTATATACCAATATAAAGACTGTAGATTATAAGATATTTTTTATATACCAATATAAAGACTGTAGATTATACAGATTATATTATATTACCAATATAAAGACTGTAGATTATACAGATTATATTATATTCACCAATATAAAGACTGTAGATTATACAGATTATATTATATTCACCAATATAAAGACTGTAGATTATACAGATTATATTATATTACACCAATATAAAGACTGTAGATTATACAGATTATATTATATTACCAATATAAAGACTGTAGATTATACAGATTATATTATATTACCAATATAAAGACTGTAGATTATACAGATTATATTATATTATAAAAACGAGATTATACAGATTATATATATACCAATATAAAGACTGTAGATTATACAGATTATATTATATTATCAATATAAAGACTGTAGATTATACAGATTATATTATATTACCAATATAAAGACTGTAGATTATACAGATTATATTATATTACCAATATAAAGACTGTAGATTATACAGATTATATTATATTATCAATATAAAGACTGTAGATTATACAGATTATATTATATACACCAATATAAAGACTGTAGATTATACAGATTATATTATATTACCAATATAAAGACTGTAGATTATACAGATTATATTATATTATCAATATAAAGACTGTAGATTATACAGATTATATTATATTATCAATATAAAGACTGTAGATTATAACAGATTATATTATATTACCAATATAAAGACTGTAGATTATACAGATTATATTATATACACCAATATAAAGACTGTAGATTATACAGATTATATTATATACACCAATATAAAGACTGTAGATTATACAGATTATATTATATTACCAATATAAAGACTGTAGATTATACAGATTATATTATATTACCAATATAAAGACTGTAGATTATACAGATTATATTATATTATCAATATAAAGACTGTAGATTATACAGATTATATTATATTATCAATATAAAGACTGTAGATTATACAGATTATATTATATTACCAATATAAAGACTGTAGATTATACAGATTATATTATATTATCAATATAAAGACTGTAGATTATACAGATTATATTATATTACCAATATAAAGACTGTAGATTATACAGATTATATTATATTACCAATATAAAGACTGTAGATTATACAGATTATATATAAAGACTGTAGACTATAGTAGTAGTAAATACACCTGCAACTAATGATTATTGATTGATTGATTGATTACCGTCATTACTGATCAATAAATAAAGATATTCAGTTTATGAGACTTTAAAGCATTAGGTTGCAGCTAGCGTTAGCATGCTAACTCAACGGACGACTTCCGGTTAGAAACTGACGTTAAAAAGATGCGTTCAGGCTTCAGACAGGAAACAAACTCATCTCAATCAAAATACAAACAAATACAAACAAACACAAACTGATGTTTACCTGTAAGGTGACTCTTTGACCCAGGTAAAGCCGCGCGGGAAGACTTCACTCCGACTGGTTTGGCGAACGGCGAGGGAAACAACTTCCGGGTTGGTAAGGTCGCTTTCCGGTCGTGTTTCAGAATAAGAGGTCAGATATTTCAAATTAAAAGTTTGTTTCAATTATATATTAGACAAATAAATATATTAAATATAATAATAAAAAAATAAAATGAGTTAAACCCAACACTTGATTATAACACTAATAATAATAATAATAATAATAATGATAATAATAATAATGAGTGTATGTATGGAAAGATTGAATTTATACTAAAGCTGAGATATAGTAGTAGCAGTTCTAATTTAGGAAGTACAAATAAAACACAATATGTGACTTTATGTCAGAATAATACAGGAAATAAATAGTTTCCTCTTTATTAAAATGATTTTCTTTATTTCTTTGTTTCAGGGAGACAAGAATAAACGTATAGTACACAAATACACAGAAACACACAACAATACACATTTGTTTCACAGTAAAGGACTATTGTACTATTTTATTTACCATAACATTGATTTGTATTTTCATCATTATTTCTTTTGGGGAAATTGACTGACATTTTGTAAATAAATGATAAAAATATGTTTCCTCTCTTTCTTCTTCTGGTGAAGAATTAAATATTACAAGCAAACTTTCCTTTAAACCTTTATTGAGAGAGAGCAGAAGAAGAGAGAAGATATGAAGGTGAACAATTTAATTATCTTTTGTTTCAGAAGTTGAGAAACAACAACAACAACAACGAAACAACACGCAGCAACTGAAATATCGACGACACTGGACAGGAAACGTGTTCTTTTTTTACTTTGTCAGTGTGATTGGAAACTCTCCCTTTTTACTTTAATATCAATAAATATCAATAAATATCAATAAATATCATTGCCTGTACCTGAAACCACAGCTGATGGACTGTACAGATATTTACAGGTTGGAATAAAGACAGATGGGAAGTAACAAGCTGACTAACTAGTGAATGAACAAGTTAGTTACATGTGAAAGCTAATCTTAGCAAAACGCTAACTAACTAACAATGTCAATTAGTGAGCTAATTTTAGATTTTTGGCAAGCACATATAAATGTTTTGGAAAATTAAATAATTGTTATTTTCTAATGTATCTTGACTAAAATGACACAATTTCATCTTTTCTTTGTTTTCCAATTTAAACCAAATTTACAATTTGCCTGATTATTAAAGCTGTTATCTTTCAATAAGAACACATGAAATCATTATTAGTAATCAATATTGTCTCAAAGTCCGCCCAAAATATAATGAAACATTAAAAATAAGTGATTTTATCACAGATGAGTATATTTTTTAATGTTGACATGAAGTCACACAGCCTGTAAAATGAATCCGTCCGAACTATCCAGCTAACGATTGATGCAGATTAGCCATGTAGTTAGCTAGCATGTTAATAACATTAGCTATCATAAGATGTGACTACATGTCATACAGTATTAGCCAAAACCAGTTATAAGGAGCATGTGTTTAATAGTAGACACCAGTATTTACACAAGTTGCCACCAGTGGTTACCAGTATGTACAGTAAGACTTAGAAATGCGTAACCATTCGCAGATAATGGTAGGCACCAGTAAAGTTACCAGTACCTATAGGTAGGCACCAGTAAAGTTACCAGTACTTATAGGTAGGCACCAGTAAAGTTACCAGTACCTATAGGTAGTCACCAGTAAAGTTACCAGTACTTATAGGTAGGCACCAGTAAAGTTACCAGTACCTATAGGTAGTCACCAGTAAAGTTACCAGTACCTATAGGTAGTCACCAGTAAAGTTACCAGTACTTATAGGTAGTCACCAGTAAAGTTACCAGTACTTATAGGTAGGCACCAGTAAAGTTACCAGTACCTATAGGTAGTCACCAGTAAAGTTACCAGTACTTATAGGTAGGCACCAGTAAAGTTACCAGTACTTATAGGTAGGCACCAGTAAAGTTACCAGTACCTATAGGTAGTCACCAGTAAAGTTACCAGTACTTATAGGTAGTCACCAGTAAAGTTACCAGTACTTATAGGTAGGCACCAGTAAAGTTACCAGTACCTAAGGTAGTCACCAGTAAAGTACCAGTACTTATAGGTAGGCACCAGTAAAGTTACCAGTACCTATAGGTAGTCACCAGTAAAGTTACCAGTACTTATAGGTAGTCACCAGTAAAGTTACCAGTACTTATAGGTAGGCACCAGTAAAGTTACCAGTACTTATAGGTAGGCACCAGTAAAGTTACCAGTACTTATAGGTAGGCACCAGCATCTAAAAGTAGCCCCCAATACTGACGAGTAGCCACCTGCACATATTATTGTCCATCACGGTTTAAAAGTACTCCATATACAAATAGTCAACAATACTTTTCTAGTAGCCACCAGTAGATATGAGTTGCCACCACCTGTGGCTACCAGTACATACAAATAAATACTGGTACATACTAGCAGTACATACCAGTACCCACAAGTATATACCAGCAAACCAGTAAATACCAGTAGCCACCAGTAAATACCAGCAAACCAGTAAATGCCAGTAAATACAGTAAATACCAGTAGACACCAGTAAATACCAGTAAATAAGTAAATACCATTAGCCACCAGTAAATACCAGTAAACCAGTAAATACCAGTAGACACCAGTAAATACCAGTAGCTACTAGTAAATACCAGTAGCTACCAGTTAATACCAGTAAACCAGTAAATACCAGTAGACACCAGTAAATACCAGTAGCTACCAGTAAATACCAGTAAAAATACCAGTAGCTACTAGTAAATACCAGTAGCTACCAGTAAATACCAGTAGACACCAGTAAATACCAGTAGACACCAGTAAATATCAGTAGCTACCAGTAAATACCAGTAGCTACCAGTAAATACCAGTAAACCAGTAAATACCAGTAGACACCAGTAAATACCATTAGCCACCAGTAAATACCAGTAGCTACCAGTAAACCAGTAAAGCAGTAAATACCAGTAGACACCAGTAAATACCAGTAGCCACCAGTAAATACCAGTAGCTACCAGTAAATACCAGTAGCTACCAGTAAATACCAGTAGCTACCAGTAGCTATCAGAAGAAACCAGTAGCTACCAGTAGCTATCAGTAGAAACTAGTAGCTACCAGTAGAAACCAGTAGAAACCAGTAGCTATCAGTAGAAACTAGTAGCTACCAGTAGAAACCAGTAGAAAGCAGTAGCTACCAGTAGAAACCAGTAGCTACCGGTAGTAACCAGTAGAAACCAGTAGCTACCAGTAGAAACCAGTAGCTACCAGTAAATACCAGTAGAAACCAGTAGCTACCAGTAGAAACCAGTAGCTACCAGTAAATACCAGTAGAAACCAGTAGAAACCAGTAAATACCAGTATCTACCAGTAAATACCAGAAGAAACCAGTAAAAAAACAGTATTAACCAGTAGAAACCAGTAGCTACCAGTAAATACCAGTAGCTACCAGTATCTACCAGTAAATACCAGAAGAAACCAGTAGAAACCAGTAAAAAAAACAGTATTAACCAGTAGAAACCAGTAGCTACCAGTAGAAACCAGTAGAAACCAGTAAATACCAGTAGCTACCAGTAAATACCAGAAGAAACCAGTAAAAACCAGTAAAAAACCAGTATTAACCAGTAGCTACCAGTAAATACCAGTAGAAACCAGTAGAAACCAGTAGGTTAGCAGCACTCAGTAGCAGTAAACTCTAGAAGCCGGTAGTCTTCACTTCCATTTAGCCAATCACGTCCCTCCTCAGAAAGAGTGGGTGGGGCCAGGAGGCCATCCAGCCCCGCCCACTCGGCCGTGACTGGGGGGCTGCATGAGGCTCTCGCTGCTGATTGGTCCGTGGAGAGCGCTGCAGGGTGAGTGGGAGGGACTTAGCTCGCTGCAGCCGACGGTCCACAGACAGGGATACTGACTGAACACAGACATTTCTCATTACATTCACTATATTTCATAAAACCTTTGTTTACCATATAAGGCTGTGGGCGGAGCCTCACCTGGAGCTGTGAGGAGGCTGCGAGGAAGGAGCACTGCTGGCGAGGGGAAGGGAGGTGGAGGAGGACAAAGAGGAAGAGGAGGAGGAGGCCGGACGAGGGGAGGAGCTGCTCCATCCGTCTGATAACACCTGAACACCTTCAGACAGACACACTGACACAACAGGAAGTAATAAATCCTGTTTATTCATTACAGTGAGTCATTTCACCTGTCTCCATTTATATATTATAATATATATGATATATATATATATCTCATATATAATATATTATATAAACAGAGTAAATAAAAGTATAGTTAGTGTCAGTGTTTGTATTTATATTGTTTTGTTTACATACTTTATATAAAAGCTTGTATATATAATAAAAATTAAAGTTTATTTATAAATGTATGTCAGTGTTTGTATATTTACACTGTAAATAAAATAAATGTGTTTATATATAATACAAATGGAAATGTATTGTAAATATATTTATGGTAATGTTAATATTTTACATTCATCTTTGAAGAAAACATTATTAATTAATTATTTATAAAAGAAATACATCCATAAACTTTATATATAAATGTAACACACACACACACACACACACACACACACACACACACACACACCTGAGGAGTGCGAGCGGTGTGGCAGGTAGGCGGTGGGGTAAGGTGTGTGTCGCCCGGGGTAACCGTGGTGCTTGTAACCGTGGTGATGATGTGATGACAGCGGGAGGCTGCTGCCATACGGGAAAGCTCCGCCTCCTCCGGCCGAGCACAGCGACCAACCTGACACACACACACACACACACACACACACACACACACACACACACACAAGATATATGTATTTATCTTTAAACATCAATATAATTGATCATTTATTAATTAAACAGCAGAATCGAAGATTTTGTTAATAGATTTAATTACACTGAACAGGTGCTACAGTGGTATTATTATTATTATTATAAAATGTTATTATTATTATTAATAATAATAATGTTATTGTTATTATTAAGAAAGGATGTATTTAAATCTATGGGAAGGTTTACAATCAGAGAGAAACATCAGTTAGAGTTTATATTGGGAGAGTTTTCCGTCTGATGCTCGTTATATCTGTAATATTATATACTAATTAATATACATTCATAATAACATATATTAATATATAATATATTTTACAGTTGTATGTGTAAGATATATTATTATTTAATATACATTAATAATAACATATATTAATATATTTTACAGTTATATGTGTAAGATATATTATTATTTAATATACATTAATAATAACATATATTAATATATTTTACAGTTGTATGTGTAAGATATATTATTATTTAATATACATTAATAACATATATTAATATATTAATATATTTTACAGTTATAGGTGTAAGATATATTATTATTTAATATTTGTGTCCATGTTATTTAACCTGGAGAATATTCTACTGTTTTTATTTTTAAACACAGAAGTTTTCATCACAATTAAATGAGATATTTTACAAGAAAACAAATTTTGCATTTTGTTCTTTTTAAATATAAATATTTGTTTTTTTAATTAGTATGTTTAAATAGATAAATATACTAATTATAAACATTGTCTTTTATTGTATTTATATATTTATGTTTTATATTGTATTAATGTTAATTACTGTACAGATAAATTCAGTGTGAGGAATAAAAATTAAATGACTCACAGGGTTGAATCCCAGTGCGACTCTCCAACGGCTCCGGTAAGCCCCGTCCGCCTGGGTTCCTGAGGAGGATAAATCAAACACCATCACACCACTGTGTGTGTGTGTGTGTGTGTGTGTGTGTGTGTGTGTGTGTGTGTGTGTGTGTGTGTGTGTGGTTTCTGTGTCTCTCTCACTTGACACCGTTGCTCCAAACGAGCGAGACGGTGTCGCTCTGAGCAGCTGATAATGACTCTCTAATCACATGCTAATGCTAACTTCCTCTGGTATCCTGGTGAGAAATGCTAAGTGCTAAGTGTCTGCGGACCAACATCCGACTGCTTCACACTCAACTACAAATACAGCGTAAAAGTACCTTTATTGATTATTGATCAGTATACACTGTATCTTTATAGATTATTGATGCTTTAATAATGGGAGTATTGATCACTGATCAGGCCGATCAGGCTGATTTTGAGCTGTACTCAGTAAGCAGTAATCTGTTGCTCTTTGTGTGCCTGTTTTTAAACTACTTTCCTCATTAAACATGATGTAATGATGTAGCAGCGTACCTCTCTTTAGCGTCCAGGAAGGCTTTAGCAAACGGGTTGTATTTGATCTTCAGAGCTGTGATCTGCACAGAAAACACACAGAACAAAACATCCAAAACTTCAGTGTGAACTTTTAAATATTCTATATGATAAGGACAGAATGCCTCCTGTGTGTGCCTACCTCTTCGTTCTGGTAGGCGGTGACGGCGATGAACTGCGTCTCTTTGAAGGAAACGTTGGAGACCAGACGATGTCGAGAGCCGACACACACAATGTGGAGCTGAGGCTCGTACTTATGGAGAGAGTTCAACATGATCTAAAGACAAAGAGCCGTTCAATGCATCACAAACTGCCACTGTTGGTGGCGGAGTCCGCCACTCCAATGCTGGATTCAGTCTGTTATTATTATATCTTAACCTGGGACCTGTTAGCTTTAGCCACAGTTATCCAGTGTGAAGCCACATTGTTACCATCCACTGTTTAGATCTTGGTGCTTTTGAACTCTAGATTTGAACCCGATGAAGGATTTTAGTCATCGGACGTCTGGATCTTAAGTTATCAGAGAAACAAGCTGAGCTAACGTTAGCAGCAGCTCGGCTCGCAGCCCCTCCGGGACGTCCTTTGTCTGTCCAACAGCGTGGGAGAAGCAGTGATTGTTAAGGTGGAACTGCTTTATTCAGTGTGTTTAAGGTGGAACTGCTTTATTCAGTGTGTTTAGTGGTTTTAATCAGCGGGTCTGTTTGTGTTGGAGAGGAGGAGACCTCTGTGGATCATTGGGCTCCCGGTAGAAACCTCCTGAACCATGAACACTGAAGGAATTACAGTTAGAGTTCGTCACTTTCTACCGCAGAGAGAACAAAAAGTAAAGTTTGATATCTGAATGAATGGAAAACATAAACTGTGATCCAGGTGTCCGTCCGTCCGTCTGCAGGAGAGTTTATGGAGTGGAGCCATCTTTGTCTTTTGGCCCAAACACTCTTTTATCCATCTGTCGTCCATCAACCCCTCCACCTCCTCCACCTCCTCCTCCTCCTCCTCACTAACGAGCCCCAATTAACCAATCCGAGCTCTCCAGGCGAACACACAAAAACAAACTGTTTTCTATTCAGATTGAGAGGCTGGCTTCACATCTGACCCCGCCACTGTGTGTGTGTGTGTGTGTGTGTGTGTGTTTACCCTGGCAGTGCCCACATTAGCTGGAGTGTGTGTGTGTGTGTGTGTGTGTGTGTGTGTGTTTGAATATAGTTTACCTCTCTCTCTCTCTCGTCCATCTGAAGCATGATGGGTAAATTAATTTCCCAGTAAAAAACATAATTACCATAATGTACAAATAAGCTGAGCAATTATTTCATTATGGCCGAGCTCTCTGTTCCAACTCTGCATTACTGTGTGTGTGTGTGTGTGTGTGTGTGTGTGTGTGTGGACAGGGATAATGGGGTAAATATAAACAACATTATTGCCAATTTTGTAGTGCTGGAAGTGTGTGTGTGTGTGTGTGTGTGTGTGTGTGTGTGTGTGTGTGAAGGCTCTCTGAGTGGCGAACGGGCTCTCGACAGGAAGTGCATTAAACTGCCGCCGGCCAATTAAGAGCTGTTTATCCCGTTCCCGTGGTTACGAGGGGGCGAGCAGGTGAAGTGAGCGAGGAGAGGGACTGAAGTGGCTAATTAGAGGCGGTAGTCTCTCGCCCACTCCCAATACAATACGGGGGGGGAGAGAGGAGAGAGGAAGAGACACTCTTGACATGGAGAGCCCGATAATGGACAGAAGAAGAAGAGTGAGAGGGGTAGGTAAAGTAAGGAGAGAAGAAGAAAAGAAAGGAAATGCAGAGGAGAAAGAAAAATGATGAATGAAAGAAAGAAAAAGGACAGAATGATCAAACAGACAAAGAAATATAGAAATGAATGAAAGAAAGAGAAAGAGTTTAATCAGGATTTCAGCTTCAGATTTTAGTTCATTTTGTTAAATTTTCGCATTAGTGGCGCCCCCTGTTGGTCGAGCTCAAACAGCTCAGGTAGACCTCCTCCCAATCACAGCCTGAACACATCTACCAAGTTTTATGCTGATTGGACAATGGTTAATGAGTTACGGCGAGTTAACGGCTCAGCCCCGCACTTTGAGACCATATTTTAATTGACGGCGGCCATGTTATTGGACCAATCTGATTTATGATAGAAAACTCAGTCCGACGTCGCTGTGAACCGTTTGGGGTTGATTCAGATTTCACTTTAGGAGGAGACGGCAAAAAAAATAAAAATGGTGGACTTTAGTGGTCCAAGAGGCTTCAGTGTAGAGCTGACTGAGCTGGACTTGTTCTCCAATTTCAAGTCAATCAGACTCACCAAGGCTGTGAGGGGTGTGGGGGGTGTGAGGGGCGTGGCCTTTCCAAAATTGTATTTAATTACAGCGCCACCTTGCGGCTCATTCCAGGTCTGGACAAACTGAGCTGTTGCAGCACGAGATAAATAATAAACCGACACAAACAAACAAATAACAGAAATGAAGTCACCTGTCCTCCTCCGTTGACCTTGTTGGTGAGTTTGACCTTGTTGAAGGTCACCGCCGCCTTCATCCAGTGCGCTCCGAAGTTCGGCGAGTCGGGGTGGATGTAGATGCCGCCGTGGCCCCGCCCCTCGGCACGGCCCTCCGCCCGGCCTGCCGCCACCCACTCCCCGTTCACGAACTTCCAGCGGCAGCCATCGGCCGGCACAAAGTCCAGCAGGAAGGAGTACATGGAGCTCGGGTCCAGACCGGACACGCTGACCTTCAGGACCGGGAACATTCGGCTGCACACACACAATCTAATATTATTATATTTATATTTATTTATCAATGCAACAGCAAAGTTAATGTTGGAGTTTTATTTAGCTGTGAGCTAAAATGTCAGTGGTGCAGTAATAATCAATATAATAATCAATAATCAGGAATAATCTATGGTCATATTTACACTTTTTATCTGGTTATTTGATCCTAAACGTCAATCAAAGTGGTTCTCCACAAACTCTCTAAATGACTAACGTGAGAAACCACAGGGAGCTTTTAAAGACAATCTGTCCATCATAAAGTGTTTGTGAGTTGTTCTGTGGATTTATTTTATTGTATTTAGAATATTGTGTCCACTTTACCTCGCGGTCAGACCTTTAATGACGCTCCCTCCAAAGACACCACACTCATTTTACCTCACAGACAACAGCAGTTTCTGCTCCACCGCCGCCTCCATTAACAGCTGCTAACGTCAGTCTGGATCCGCATTAACGTGTTCAAATACAGACAGACTAACAGACAGGCAGACAGGCAGACAGACAGGCAGACAGATGGAGGCAGCGGCAGAGCAGGAAAACACCAGTGCTCTGTGAGGAAGGACGTCTGTCCTCTTCATAAAATCCTCTCTCTGAGCTCAGACTGTAACTCAGGACTCACACACACTAAAGGAAAGTGTTGTTTTTATTATTGAAGACTGAACCAGAACACAGTGGACACTGACGGAGCTTCAGTCTCTGATCAATAACCTCGTCCTGGATCAGGAACCAATCAGCTGATCAATGAGCAGAAAACAGAGAATCCGTCTGATTGTTAAAATGATAATGAAAACTCATCTCTGATCAATATGCACAGGAAATAATCAAACATCCTGCAGTGATTGAGTTCACTGTTTGGGTTCATTGATCAGTTGATCAGCTGTTATTGATATCGATCAATAGAATATGAAATATACAGAAGATATAGTGGGTGCACCAGAGCATTAATGTCCTCAGGACTGCGTCTGTGCTCATTTCATTTCTTATAAATCCAAACTGATTATAGTTTATTGATTTTAAAGAGTCTGGAAACATTTTATCTTCACGAGCTGCACGAGTTCGATCGTTGTCCATCAATATAATCCTGTTTCCATCCATTATAGACTGATCTCAAATCAGGAGGAGACAACAATTGTTATTTTTTAATATTATTACTAAGTTCATTAGTAATTATTAGTTACATTATTCTGTTGACCTGTGTCTCTTTATCCTCCCCGTCTGTGTGTTCAGAGGATCTTTGTGGTGTTTGTTTATTAGAGACAGAGCAGAGCGACCGCCACCATCAGAGCATTTCCCTGTGTGAGAGCAGTGAGAGTAAAAGTAAAGGCCTTGTGCGTCTAAAGCCTCAGAGAGACAGACAGACGGCTCTCCATCAGTAACAGCAGTTGAAGTGGCGTTCAGCAGGTGTAAATGGAGTGTTTTCCCACCGCGGGGCGCGACAGGGCGACCCGCCTCGGCTCGGCAAAAAGCACACAGACACACACGGGCCACGTTAACGGCTGCTATCCACGCTAATGAATAACCCCGGTCAACAGGAACGCTGATCTGGAGTCGCAGCAAAGTCGCTTTCCTGAGAGAAAATATTCCCAGAGCAACAGGTAACGATTAATGTGAAACACTGTGCAGGGAGCGTTCACAGCACGACGACAACCACAGCACAACGACAACCAACGCACAACGACAACCACCGCACGACGACAACCACAGCACGACGACAACCACCGCACGACGACAACCACAGCACGACGACAACCAACGCACGACGACAACCACAGCACGACGACAACCAACGCACGACGACAACCACAGCACGACGACAACCAACGAACAACCAACAGCACAACGACAACCAACGCACAACCAACACAACGACAACCAACGCACAACGACAGCCACAGCACAACGACAACCAACGCACAACGACAACCACAGCACAACGACAACCACAGCACAACGACAACCAACGACAACCAACGCACAACGACAACCAACGCACAACGACAACCACAGCACAACGACAACCACAGCACAACGACAACCAAAGCACAACGACAACCACAGCACAACGACAACCAACGCAAAAACACAACGACAACCAACGCACAACGACAACCACAGCACAACGACAACCAACGCACAACGACAACCACAGCACAACGACAACCACAGCACAACGACAACCACAGCACAACGACAACCACAGCACAACGACAACCAACGCACAACGACAACCAACGCACAACGACAACCACAGCACGACAACCAACGCACAACGACAACCACAGCACAACGACAACCACAGCACAACGACAACCAACGCACAACGACAACCACCGCACAACGACAACCACAGCACAACGACAACCACAGCACAACGACAACCACAGCACAACGACAACCACCGCACAACGACAACCACCGCACAACGACAACCACAGCACAACGACAACCAACGCACAACGACAACCACAGCACAACGACAACCACAGCACAACGACAACCAACGCACAACGACAACCACAGCACAACGACAACCACAGCACAACGACAACCAACGCACAACGACAACCAACGCACAACGACAACCACAGCACAACGACAACCAACGCACAACGACAACCACAGCACAACGACAACCAACGCACAACGACAACCACAGCACAACGACAACCAACGCACAACGACAACCAACGCACAACGACAACCACAGCACAACGACAACCACAGCACAACGACAACCAACGCACGACGACAACCACAGCACAACGACAACCACAGCACAACGACAACCACAGCACAACGAAAACCAACGCACAGCGACAACCACAGCACGACTCCTGAACGGCTTCCTAAGAGCTTTAGGATTTACTTTAAGACCTGTGTCCTTTTCTCACTGCAGGGAGAAGTGCAGAGGATCTGAAGGAAAATCAGCACTGGTTCCACATATAAAAGCTACCTCATTAATCCAACCAATCAATCACATCATACTCTACTAAACTCTGTAAAATATTTGAATTATTTAACTGTTATTTATAGTTTCTGTGTAAATCTTCATGATGGTCTTAGTGTTGTTAGAAAGCTTTGTCAGGTGACTCATTCTTCTTATTTTACACTCATTTTGTTTAACATCTTCTTCTTCCTGTTCTGTGTGTGAGCTCCTTTACTGACACTGAGACGCTCACTGGATGACGATGTTTTAAGGTTTCAGAAAGGAAACATGTAGTGTTAGTCTGGATGGATGGCTGACACTGATCAATAACTGGTGGACGAGGCTGTGAATCGGAGGGGGGGGGCAGTCAGGGATTTAACCTCTGCAGGGTCACACCTGAGAGCAGCTGCTCACCGCCGCTCCTCCCACACTGCGCTCAGTGGAAACACCTGTGTGGATGTGCAGCGTGGTTGAGACCCCTGAATCAAACAATAGATGTAGTCTGGTATCAGGAACAAAGAGACTCAGATTACCGTCCATTCTTGGTGACGATCATCTCGTTGGTGATGTGCTGAAACTTCCTCCACAGCTCGGCGTCCTCCAGCGTCACCCTAAGCTCCCTCTCCGTCGGGTCGCCCTTCTCCCGGCCGGCCTGAAGCTCGCTCTCCACCGCACTCAGCAGCCGGGACATGCAGCGCTCGGCCGACCCAGGGCTGCACCCCGCCGTCCCGCCGGTGCGAGCGGCGGCGGTGGCGGCCCGGTCTGCTGAGGACACAGAACCAGACTCCCCGTCCTCCTGTAGCCCCTCCACCTTCATCTGGACACACAGAGAAAGACACATTTACTACAGTCAGACAGAAGCACCTTGTTCTGAACCTCAAATAAACTTTAGGTTGATAAACTAGTCTTTTATTTTAATCCCTGACTCACTGACTGTCTCCTGTGAGCTCAGTAAACCTGTACGCTCATTCTTTATAAATCCCCCCAAAAAATAACTTTGGTGATTTCCAGCAGAATTTAAATTTCTTGTTCTTCTTGCTCAGCGCTCAGCTCTCTGTGAGCTCCTGCTGACATTGTTTCAGTCATTTTAGACGCCGTAAATCGAAGCTTTCACTCCGCTCTAGACGTCATCAGAATAAACTGAATCAGACAAACTTTATTTAAAATACCTCCAATGAACCTTTAAACAAACTGTTTCCTTCCTTTCCTGACTCCTCTGTGTATATTTACACTTCTCTACAGTTTTCTATTAAAACACATTTGATGATGAATCCTTTATTATTCTCTTTATAATGTGGAGCTGTTTCCTTTATTACATCATTTATTGAATCCTGTAGTTTCCCTTTAATATTAATGTTATTATAAGCACTGATTCATTTACTGGGACAAATGTTACTTTATTTTTACAACATTCAAAAACACCTTTTTAATTCATTTGGACATTTTTGTTTATTGAGAATTTATGAGGCAAAATGTCAAATGTTATTATAAAACCTACAGACAATAACGATTGGTAGGAACAATAAGGGCTCGGGTACATTTCATCAGTTTATCTTTAATTTAATTAATTCAATTATCTTTAAATTAATCTTCTTTAAGGATTAAATTGTTTTTCATTTTTGTATTTCTGACTAAATTTCTTCTGGTATAAGCACATTTCTGTTACTTCTACTGATTATATTATTAAATCAATGTGTGTGTGAGGGGATGCGTTAATAAATATCATGCCGTTAATTTCTGTTTATTCTAATTAAATAATGACTTAATTATGGTGTCCTGGAGGTGGAGGGAGGATTTCACTTCTGTGGATGAACTGATGGTTAACCACATGAAAGAGTCAACTTATTATTAATTCAAATACAAAAAGAAATACAATCAAAATTAAAATGTGTATTTAATTAAAACATAAAACACAGAAATATGAACGAATGAAAAACAATGTATCCTGTTTTAATCCTCACATTAATGAACTTTAAAGTGATTCCACAGGTTCTTTAGTGAATGAATGAAAGAAAGAGATAAACTCACCTGAGACAGCCGACACTGCGCTGACAA